TTTTTTCAAAGACAGCAAGCTGGGCCATGAAGGGTTAAAGGAAGTAAGGTGTCTGTGCTGTGAGCCTAGAGCCTCCAGGATGGGTTCCCCAGCCCTGATGACACCATGCTGTTCTTCATTGTGTCCTGGTCTCCAGTAAACACATGTCTAAGCTGTCTTATCTTGTGGAGTGTGCATTTCATCCATAACTATACCTGGTCTTTGTTTAGCTTTGGTATATGGTACTTATCTAAAAAAATGTCCATTTCTTTTGCATTTTCCAGTTTTGTGGCATACAGGCTTTTATAGTAAGATCTAATGATTCTCTGAATTTCCTCTGTGTCTGTGGTTATGTCCCCCTTTTCATTTCTGATTTTATTTATTTGCGTGTTCTNTATTTTGAAAACTTGTTCTCCACAAAATTGGAAAATGTAAAAGAAAAGGACAACTTTCTTCATAGGTACCACACATCAAAATTAAATCAAGACCAGATGGACAATTTAAATAGACCTATAACCCCTTAGGAAGTAGAAACAGTCATCAAAAGTCTCCCAAGGAAAAAGAAAAGCCCAGGGACAGATGGTTTCAGTGCAGAATTCCACCAGAATTTCAAAAAAGAGCTAATATCAATACTCCTCAAACTGTTCCACTCACTAGAAACAGAAGAAATATTGCCACTCTTTTTTACAAGGCTACAGTCACCCTGATACCAAATCATACAAAGATACATCTAAGAAAGAAAATTACAGACCCTGTTTCCTCATGAGTATTTTATTGAATGTTTTGTTCAATAAAATACTGGCAAACAGAATCCAAGAACACAACAACAGCAAAATAAATCCCAGGCTTCATCCCAGAGATGCAGGGATGTTCAACATACAAAAATCTGTCAATATAATCCACCATATAATTAACTGAAAGAAAAAAACCCCGCATTATCATCTCATCAGATGCTGAAAAAGCCTTTGAAAAAATCCAGCACCCCTTCATGATAAAGGTCTTGGAGAGATCAGGGATACCTAAACATGATAAAGGTAATATACAGCAAGCCAACAGCCAACATAAATTAAACAGAGAGAAACTCAAAGTGATCCCACTAAAATCAGCCAGAAGACAAAATTGTCCACTCTTTCTATTCAATATTGTACCCAAATTACTAGCTCGAGCAGTAAGTCAACAAAAGGAGATCAAGGGGTGACAAATTAGAAGAAAACGAGTTAAACTTTCACTATTTGCTCATGATATGATAGTTTACATAAGAGACCCCAAGAATCCTTCCAGGGAGTTCCTAAAGCAGATAACACCTCCAGTAAAAGGGCTGGATACAAGATTAACTCAAAAACAAACCAAAAAAGAATAACAGCAGTAGCCCTCGTATATAAATGACAAGTGGGCTGAGAAAGAAATCAGAGAAATGGGCGTGAGAGATGGCTCAGAGGTTAAGAGCACTGACTATTCTACCAGAGGACACGAGTTCAGTTCCCAGCACCTACATGGCAGCTCACAACTGTCAGTAACTCCAGTTTCAGGGGATCTGAAAACCTCACATGTCATTCATGTGGCAAAATCACCAATGCACATAAAATAAAAATAAGAAATATTTTTAAAAAAAGCAGGGCGGCAGTGGCACAAGCCTTTAATCCCAGCAATTGGGAGGGAAAGAAAGGTGGATCTCTGTGAGTTCAAGACTAGCCTGGTCTACAAGAGCTAGTTCCAGGACAGGCTACAAAGCCACAGAGAAACCTTGTCTTGGAAAACCAAAAAAGAAAAAAAAAAAGAAATCAGAGAAACATCACCCTTCCCAAAAGCCACAAATAACATAAAATACCCTGGGGTAACTCTAATCAAACAAGTAAAAGACCTGTATGACAAGAACTTTATGTATTTGGAGAAAGAAATTGAAGGAGAAATCAGAGGATGGAAAGATCTCCCATGCTCTTGGATAGGTGGAATCAACGTAATAAAAATTACCATCTTAACAAAAGCAATCTACATATTAAATGCAATCCCATCAAAATTCCAACACAATTCTGTACAAACCTTGAAATAAAAATACTCGGCATCATATGGAAAAATAAAAATCCCAGGATAGCCAAACAATCCTCTACAATAAAGGAGCTTCCAGACGTATCACCATCCTTGACTTAAAGCTCTACCTTAGAGCTACAGTAATAAAACAGCTTCATAGTAGCATAAAAAAGCAATGGATCAATGGAATCCCCGGATATTAATCCATACACCTATAAACACCTGGTTTTTGTCAAAGAAGCCAAAATTGTACAATGGAAAAAAGAAAGCATCTTCAACAAATGGTGCTGGCATAGGTGGATGTTGATATTTAGAAGAATATAAAGAGATCCATATCTATTCCCATGCCCAAAATTCAAGTCCAAATGTGTCAACAACCTCAACATAAATTCAGTTACATTGAACCTGATAGAAGAGAAAGTGGGAAGCAGCCTTGAATGCATGGGCACAGGAGACCACTTCCTAAATATAACCCCAGTAGCACAGACACTGAGAGCAACAATAAATGGTATCTCCTGAAACCAAGAAGCTTATGTATGGCCTATGGCAAGGATATGGATATAAGACAAAAGGGCAGGCTACAGAATGAAAAAGAAATTTACCAACCCCAGAGGGCTGTCTCCAAAATATATAAAGAACTCAGGAAACTAAGCACCTAAATACAGGATAACCCAATTAAAAAGTGGGGTAGAGTTCTAAACAGAAGAAACTCAAATGTCTGAAAGACATTTAAAGAATTGTTCAACATCCTTAGCTATCAGGGAAATGTAAAATAAAACAACTCTGAGATACCTCTTACATCTATCAGAATGGCTAACATCAAAAACTCTGATGACAGCTTATGCTAGAGAGGACGTGGAGTATGGGGAACACTCCTCCATTGCTGGTGAGAATGAAAACTCGTACATCCACTTTGGAAATCAGTATGGCAATTTCTCTGAAAATTTGGAATTAGTCTACATCAGGACTGTGCAATATCACTCTTGAGCACACACCCATAGGATGCACAATCCTACTACAAGGACATTTGTTCAGTTAAGTTAATAGCAGCGTTATTTACAATAGTCAGAACCTAGAAACAACCTAGATGCTCCAAACCAAAGAATGGATAAAGAAAAGGTGGTACATTTGCACAATAGGGTACTACTCACCAAAAAAAAAAAGACATCTTGAAATTTGCAGGCAAATGGATGGAACTAAAAAAGCCATGCTCTGTGAGGTAACCCAGACCCAGAAATACAAACATGGTATGTACAAACTCCTAAGTGGATCTTAGACTTAAAGCAAAGGATAACCAGCTACAATCCACAATCCTAGGGAATTAGGTAAAAAAGAGGACCCCAAGAGTGACACACATGGAGGGCCCTAATGAGAGCCCTAAGTCTCTGGACTGACAGCTGGGGAACCTGTATGGAACCAAACCAGGCCCTATGAATGTGGCTGACAGTTATGTGTCTTGATCTGTTCCTGGGGCCCTTAGCAGTGGTCTAAGTGCATGAACTGACTTTTGGACCCCATTCCCTATGGTGGGATACCCTTTTCAGCCTTGATAGAGGGGCTAGAGGCTTGGTCCTACCTCAAATTAGTATGCCAGACTTTCTTGACTCTCCAAGGAAGGCCTTATGCCTTCTTAGGAGTGATTGGATGGTGTGTATAGGTGGAGGTGGAGGGGTGGAAGAAGAGGAGGGAGGGGGCTCTGGGATGGATATGTAAAATTAAAGAAGATTTTTAAATTAAAAAAAAGATGCCCTTCTCCAGGTTGCATATATTCGGTCAGACATGAGCTTAGCCATCTTGAGTTGTAACCTCAACGACTGTCACTGACCGACCTGGGCCAGGATTTCTTGCTTAATTTCCCAGCAAGCCTTACTCAGAACCTCTAGAGTTTGTGTGGAGCTGTGCATCTGGTTCCTGGCTCTAGAGATGTGCCCAACTAACTCTGTGATTCCAGCTCAAAATGAACCAGGCACCTTCCACCAGAGATGAAGCCATGTTTCCCGTATCTGCATCTTCAACCACTCTGGCCTGACCTGTAAGGACTCAAACTGGTCCTTTTGTTCTCAAGGACCCGATTCCGTCAGCAAGTCTTCCAACACAATGTGGGCAATTTTGACTTTTCCTCCATTTCTTTAGTGGAATTTTTAATTTCCTCTTTAAGGGCCTCTGTCATCTTCATAAAATTATTTTTGAGGTTGTTTTCTCCTTCTTCATCTGTGTTGGGATGTTCAGGTCTTGCTGGTATAGAAACACTAGTTTCTGGTGCTGCCATATTGTTTTTTATGTTGTTGATTGTGATCTTACACTGCCGTCTGTCCATCTCTTCCTTCCTGTCAGTGCAGGTGGGGCCTGTACCTCCGTGGGTCATTCTCCTATTTATATTTAATCCCTCCTTGTTCCCAGGCAGCTGCTGTATCAGGAAGTCACCAGCTTGCCCTGGCCTCACGTTAGCCTTTCCTAAATCTCTAGAAAGCAGAAAAACTGCTTTGTTTTCTGAAGAGAATCTGGCTGAGGATCCTGAGCAGGAGACGTAAACTCAGAGCAGGATTTCCTTGTAAATGTGTTCTGAGTCCCAGCACCTAAGTGTGTTCACAAATCCTGCATTTGTGGATGTGGAGTGAGACACAGGTGAGACAGGGATTGACTGCAGTGGGTGTGTAAGGAAATGTGCATGTATTCCCATATGTGTAAAAGGAGCAAAGATCATAAGAGAATGGAGCTGTGTTACTGAACAGATAGTGATGTTTCTTTCCATTGGCAGTAAGTAAAGGAATGCCAAAGGCCATTATATATCATAAGACCAAACAGGTGAGAGACCAGAGAAGTGGGGCATGAATAAATACCAAGATAGGCAGTACAGAGAATCAAGTGTAGACTTTCTACTAGAAGCCTGCATTCCTCTGTGTCTCCTGAGTCTTGTTTGCTTACTTTGTCCTCTGTGAATAGAGGCCAAGTTTACTCTGTCCCAGACTGTCTGTGCCTGTCCTTTGAAAGCCATGTGGCTCTACCTGGTGACTCTTGTGGGCCTTTACTACCTTCTGCGTTGGTACCGTGAGAAGCAGGTGGTGAGCAATCTCCAAGAGAAGCATGTCTTCATCACGGGCTGTGACTCGGGCTTTGGGAACCTGCTGGCCAGACAGCTGGACAGAAGAGGCATGAGGGTGCTGGCTGCATGTCTGACGGAGAAGGGAGCCGCGGAGCTGAGGAAGAAGACATCAGACAGGCTGGAAACAGTGATCCTTGATGTCACCAAGACAGAGAGTATTGTGGCAGCCACTCAGTGGGTGAAGGAGCGTGTTGGGAACAGAGGTACCATTGAGATCCCTGGCTGTGTCTGCTGGTTTGACTTGTGTGTGAAGGGGCCTGCCGGTTTCTCTCCTTGGAAGAAGCTTTATGTGGGTTGGGGTACTTGAAGTACCAGAGCCTCCTCCTCTCCCCTTAACATCACCTGAGCACTTTCTCTCTCTACCTGCTGTTACTCAGTCTTTCTGGTCTCTGGTCTTTGGAGAATTTACCTTCTCACCTTCCTGTCTGTGCTCTGTCCCCTTCTCTATGTAGACAATCAAGACTGCTGGATGCTTAGAGCAGGGTCCCTTTGCAGAGCAGAGGATGGGACTTGTCCTGGGCTATGTGTGCAGGATATCTGGGGTCACACCTGGGTCGATCTCTTGGGTTGGCACCGTCCTTGCTCTTACTTGTCACCTGCCATCCTCTGTGGAGGGAGACAAGACTGCTCCTGGGTAGAGCGGCCATGACAAGATAAAGGACTGACATGGATAAGTAAGATAGAGGTTACTCTTCTTTCATCCAGGTGACAGTGTTAATTGTGATGGCCCAAAGAAGACCCTTGGTTAATAAAAGTTTAAGAATAAGTTGAAAACATGGTGATTGTTCAAATTACTAAAACATGTTAAACAACAAAACTTAACCTATAATTTAGCACCCAGTGCATAAAAACAGGTAATGTTTTCACCTGTGTTCATTAAAGTAAATGCATTGTTTTCACTTAAAAAAGGTGAGCAATTTTTACCTCGACATTTCTTTGATGATTTTACTTTTGAAACATTGTCTCTCTGTTTCTTGATTGTTCTGGAACTCTGTAGACCAAGCTGGCCTCCAGATCAGAGATCAGTCCTCTTGTTTCTCCCAATTGCTGCCATTAAAGACGTGCACCACCAGAGCCTGGCTTGCATGATAATATTTTATGAATTAAAAAAAATCCCGCATCAAGGAAGCCCAACTAATGTAACCATATCTTGGGGTCAGATTCTGGGATTGTTTGGTACATTTGTGTTTGTTTTACCTTTAGTTTTTATTATAGGAATTGGATACTGACTGGCCTTGAACTCACTCACGACCTTATTGCTTCAGACCGTCCTGTACCAGGACTGCATGTCTGTCCCACCACCCACATCTTGTTCCCTACAGTTATGATCATGAACACTGGCCTGGTAGTCAGTTTTCTGAGCTTGTGGTGGGATCCTAGCAATGAAATATCTCTGTTATACAGTTTGTGCTTCCAGGAGGATAAGATATGGGATAGGAGTGAGGTGGCATGTGACTTTTGGGAACAATTCTCAAAACCAGTAAGCACCACATTAGCCTTAAACCAAGTAGCCTGCAGTTTGAGAAAGATAGTCTCAAAAAGCCAAAAACTTAAATCAAAAAGAAAAGAAACAGAATTGAAAATTAAGCCATGAGAATATGGAAAACACACAGAGAATCTGGATACTGTGTTATTGTATTCTCTTTGAATTGTTTGAATGCTGAAGAAGGGGCAACAGCTGCTAAAAGATATTTGATATTAAATATTGCTGGATTAATCCAACATACATATTTTGAAAATATGATTTTAAAATTTAATTCAAAAGATAGGTTACTTTTGAGCAGAGGTTTAATTTTTGTTTTCACAGGAAAAGGGAAGCTGTGGACTTATTCTTGATTAAGAAAAGTGAGGCTTGGTCAAGGGAGACCCCCTGAGAAAGCTCTGATAGGAGTAGATGGCCCAGATGTCTGAATTCTACATCCAGAACAGCCTCAAGACTGCTCGCTGAGATGATCAAGCCCCACAGAATATTCAAGCCAGGACTTGATTATAATTCTAAATTTTCTTTAGGATCCTCTAAGATTATCAACGCTCCCATCAACAGGAAGTAGCTTGAAAAACTGTGCACACATTCCCCCGAAGATGGATTATGGATATTTATCTTGTTGGTTACAAGATGTTATGGATAATGGGCTGGACAAAAAGCTAAACAAACGATATTAGATTCAGAGTTCTTGTTTAAAATAAGGGGGAGGAAGGGGTGTGGGACAATGATCTTTTATCCTGTCACTCATCTTATTTTTAATAAAATGCTGATTGGCCAGTGTAGTCAGGCAGGAAGTATAGTCAGGGTGACCAGGTAGTATGTAGAGGTGGCATGATAAGAAGAGGAGAATTTTGGGAAGAGGAAAGGTCACACTGAAGCCATCACCCAGATGTAGGGGAAGCAAGATGAGAATATCTCGCTGATAATAGGTACCAAGCCATGTGGCTGACACATACAAGAATTATGGGCTAATGTAAGTTTTATGAATTAATAAGAAGCCTGCATTAATAGGCTAACCGATTTATAATTAATGTGGGCCTTTGTATGTTTTCTTTGGGACTGAATGGCTGTGGAACCTGGTGGGACAGAAACCTCTGTCAACACCATGCCGTTCTTCATTGTGTCCTGGTCTCCAGTAAACACATGTCTAAGCTGTCTTATCTTGTGGAGTGTGCATTTCATCCATAACTATACCTGTGCTTGTTACTCTCTCTCTTCCCACTGTCCCCAGGACTGTGGGGCCTGGTCAACAATGCTGGCATCTCCATTCCCTCGGGTCTCAATGCGTTCCTGAAGAAAGAGCATTATGCAAAGATACTGGATGTGAACCTGTTGGGTGTGATCGACGTGACTCTGAGCATGATGCCCTTAGTGAGGAAGGCAAAGGGCCGAGTGGTCAACGTTTCCAGCATCTTGGGTCGTTTGTGTTTGTTTGGTGGTGGTTACTGCATCTCCAAGTATGGTGTAGAGGCCTTCTCAGACTCCATCAGGTAATGACAGGGATGTGGGTATCTGAGAGAATCATTGGAATAAGGTTTTATTTAATCAAGACTATTAGGAGGCCATCATGAAGAGGACACACTCTGGGTTTGACTTTCTATAACTGTCTCCTTGTTGGAAGTATATGATCATTCTCCAGGAATACATTTCCATGTCTCCAGTAAAGGCAGGGCTGAGACAGGAGTTATTTATTTATTTATTTATATTTAATTTATTTTAGCCATGATCTATGTGAACTTAACTGCGCTCAATTCACTAGGTAGATCATTCTGGCCTCAAACTTAACAGACCTATCTCCTGAGGACTGGAATTAAATGAATCTGTCAAGACGAAAATTGTGTGTCAGCATTCTGCCAAGTTCAGTTAATCATATCCTGCTTGGAGCTGGAGACATGGCTCAGCAAAATGAGCACTGGTTGCTCTTCTAGAGGATCCAGGTTCAATTCTCAGGACCTACATGGCAGCTCACAACTGTCTATGACTCCAAGATCTGACCCCCTCACAAAGACACACATCCAGGAAAAACCCCAAAGCACATAAAATGTGTAATTCTGCTGTAGCAGAAGGCGCACAAAGGGAATATTTTTTGAAGCATAGTCAGACATATGATATTTGGGGAAGAGTACAGACTCTTGACCATTAATGATTGTCAACTTGAGGATGTCCTTGAGGTGGGCTGAGCATCTCATTCAGCTCATAGCGTAGTTTCTACACTCTTGTTATAGTCTGTGGTCAACTCAATATAGAATCACAAGAAGGCTTTCCCCCAGACGTTAAAAACTCTGACAACTGAGAAATTGAAAGAGTGGAGAAAGACTGGCTATCCTTGCAGTGAGCAGAGCAGTTAGATTAAGGGTCCTAGAGCAAGGAGCCAAGTGGGAACCTAGCAGCCTGGTGAGGAGGCCTGTTGGGAAAAATGAACATGCTGTTGGCTGCTACTCGACCAAAGGATAAGTCATATGATACAGGCAGGAGGCTGAGAAGGTGAGCACATGCAGGCATGTAGGGAGCATGAGAACCACAAACAAGGATGTACTTCACTATCTTGGCAAGGCAAATGGGAAGAGAGTGAATCAGGGGAGCCCTGTATGCCATGCAGCCTGTCATTGTAGAGATTGGGGGGATGGTAAATGTGAGAGGCACTAAGAAAGCAGCCAGAGAGTGTTTCCAGGAAGATGCCTGCAGGAGCCATGGGCCAGGTGGACTGAGACGGATTTACGGAAGGTTCAAACTAAGAGTGAGGATCAGGTGACATGGATAAGGGTAACCCTGTTCACCTGGATTGTATAGACAGGTCTTACCTGGAGTCTAGTTCTTGTCCAGAGAGCTACGTGCACCAATTACTTAGGGTGATATTTAAAGTGCAGATGCATTGGCCTCACCATGAGTTTCATCCCCATTCAGACAACACCTGTCTGAAGCTTGTGGCCTCTCCTTAACACAGCCTCATGTTGTTATGTAACTGTACTCTGATTCTGAGTGACCTCACAGAAAATCCTATGAAGTCCTTGATGTCTCTCTATCTTGCAGGAGGGAGCTCTCCTATTTTGGAGTGAAGGTGGCTATCATAGAACCTAGTTTTTTCCAGACTGCTATTTCCAGTAGTGACAGGCATTTGTCACATGCCAAGATACTGTGGGACCAGGCCAGCTCAGAAGTCAAAGAGATCTATGACGAGAAGTTTTTGTCATCCTGTGAGTGGGTTTTGGGGGTCCAAAGCAAAGGTGTCTAGAATTCTGAGTCTCCCGGTGGTGTTGACAGCAGTCACCCTAAGGTGTTTCTAATGAGCATGATTAGCCTCTGTTTCCTTGGTATAGGGTGGGCATCTCTTCACATAAAGATATCCTGGCTTCTAGAATGTAAGGTGTTGTTTCATTTAAATCCCTTATTATGATATGAAAGTGAAGCTGGAGTCACGAAACAGTGACTTTCCATGAGCTTGGACTTGTTTCCACTCTTGCAGAGACAACAGAGTTCTCTGAACAGAGACCCAGGTGGAGCCTGTGTGTGGTTCCTCCTTGAACCTGGGCTGTGTCCTAATACGACCTCAGACCGGCCTGGCTTGGGCAGGATTCAGATGTGGGCGGCTTGGGTTCTAGTGAGGCTTTCCTTTATGTTGGTCTAGAGCAGGAGTGTCAGAGGTAATCACCCCCCAAATCCTTTTTCCTTTTGCATAGATGAAACAACAATAAAGTTATTGGACAAACTGTGCAACAAGGACCTCTCCTTGGTGACGAACTGCATGGAGCATGCACTGACTTCCCGTCACCCCCGGACCCGATATTCAGTTGGTTGGGATGCCAAGCTCTTCTACATCCCTGTGAGCTACCTGCCCACCTCTCTTGCAGATGTCATCTTATTCTGGACCTCCACGAAGCCTAAAAATGCTCAGTGAAGCCTGCATCTGTTTCTGTTGTTAGGGGTATAAGAGTGCAGTGTGAGGGAGAGGATCCTCAGGAGAAGGCAGATGCTAAGCTCAGGACAAAATTGTCATTGGGAGGGAGATCCATAGGTGCCTGACTTTTATTCCTTTGGTATGACCATGGAGAACATAGAGCCACAGGAAAACCTTCTATGTTTAAATAATGATTTNTTCAACATCTGTTCTGAAGATCAGCTGAGAAGTGACTGCTATTGCTTCCCATGCAGCACACAGGGCCATGAAGGGTTAAAGGAGCCTGGAGCCTGGGGAATGGGCTGCCCAGCCCTGATGATACCATGCTGCTGAGGGACTATGGTCTTTTATCCTGTCACTTACCTTACTTTTAATAAAACGTGGATTGGACAGTAGCCAGGCAGGGCAACCAGGCAGGAAGTGAATGCAGGGTAATGAGAACAGGAGAATTCTGGGAAGAGGAAAGGTCACTCAGCAGCCTTTATCGAGAGGCAGAGGAAGCAAGGTGAGAATGCCCCACTGATAACAGGTACCAAGGCACATGGCTAATACAGACAAGAATATGGGATAATATAAGTTATAAGAGTTAATAAGAAGCCTGTGCTAACACGCTAACCTGTTTATAATTATTGTGGGTCTTTGTGTGTTTTCTTTGGGCCTAAATGGCTGTGGAACCTGGTGGGACAGAAACCTCAGTCAACCAAATGGCACCAACATGGACAGCTAAATCCACTTAAAACCTGAGAGAGTTTGGGAAGGAATTCTAGACACAAAATAATAGCGCTATGCATGGCTTGTTGGTAATATTTTCTCCGGTGGACTCTGTTTGCTAGAGGCAAGTGCACCTCATTTAAGAGACGCTTCCTGACTCAGCTTTAGAAGAAGAAACTTGCAGCTTTTTTAAGAGGCCCCACACCAAACACTTAAATGTGTTCATGAGTAGCCAATAGCATGCTTCTTGGTGATGGCAGGGACTTTGAAACTTCCTATAGCTGTGGCAATAAACACGGCTCCAGCCAGTTCCTCCACCATGAGGCTAGACTCTCAGAAAGCTAAGGATTGAGGTGGATCCAGCTGTCAAAGCTATGGTTTTAATCCAAGCCATATATGTCACTTAGCCAATTAAAGACTCTTATGGTCAGAAACAGAATGATGTACAGTAAAGATAGGTTCAAAGACAAAGAAAACCTCTAAACGGTTTACAGTGTTTTTAAAAGTATATGCAGGCTTGGGAGAGAAAAGTAAAAGGATAAAGTTCGTAAAATAAAAAAGAAAGAAAGAGAGAAGTTTTGTGTTGTGGCACACACCTTTAATCCCAACAATGGGAGGCAGAGGCAGGCAGATCTGAGTTCAAGGACAGCCTGGTCTACTGAGTGAGTGCCAAGACAGCCAAAGATACATGGAGAAAACTAGTCTCAAAAAGCCAAAAACTTAATGTAAAATAAAAGAATCAGAATTGAAAATGAAGCCATGAGAAGAAGGAGAGCACACAGAGAATCTGGATACTATATGTAATTATGTTCTCTTTGAATTGTTTGAATGCTGAGGAAGGGGCAACAGCTGCAAAAAGATATTTGATATTAAATGTTGCTGGATTAATCCAACACACATATTTTGAAAATGCTTTGACTTCAAAATTTAAGTCAAAAGATATGTTACTTTGGAACAGAGGTTTTGTTTTTGATTCTTCAGGAAATGAGAGGCTGTGGATTCATTCTTGATTAAGAAAAAAGAGGTTTGATCAAGGAAGACCTCCTGAGAAATCTCTGATATGAACAGATGGACCGACCCGATGTCTGAATTCTACATCCAGAACAGCCTCAAGACTGCTTGCTGAGATGATCAAGCCTCACAGGATATTCCAGCCAGGACTGGAACATAATTCTAAATTTTCTTTAGTTCCCTGTAAGATTATTAGCACTCTCAACCATTAGGGTGTAGCTTGGAAAACTATGCCCATATTCCCCCCAAAAATGGATTATGGATATTTATCCTTTTTTACAGTGTTGTTTACAAGATATTATGAATAATGGTCTGGACAAACAGATAAAAATATTATATTCAGAGTTCTTGTTTAAAAAAGGGGGGGATGTGCTGTAGGACAAATCTCTTTTTGATGGAGGAAGGTCATTGGTCAAATAAAGAAACTGCCTTGGCCCTGATTGGTTAGAACATAGGTGGGTGGAGTAAACAGAACAAAATGCTGGGAGAAAGAGGAAGTGAGCTCAGACTTCACACAGCTCCTCTCAGAGCGAGACACACATGATGAAGCACTGACCCAGGATGGATGTAGGCTATAATCTTCCCGGTAAGAGCACCTTGGGGTGCTTACACAGATGATTAGAAATGGGCTAAATTAATATGTGAGAATTAGCCTAGAAGAGGCTAGATAGTTATGGGCCAAGCAGTGTTTAAATGAATACAGTTTGTGTGTTGTTATTTCGGGCATAAGCTAGCAGGCGGCCGGGGTGCTGGGGACACCGCCCCACTGCTCCTATTACAACATCTTTTATCCTGTCACATGTCCTATTTTTAGTAAAACACTAATTGGCCAGTATCCAGGCAGGAAGTATAGGCGGAGTGACCAGGCAGGATGTAGAGGTGGTGTGATGAGATGAGGAGAATTCTGGGAGGAATAAAGGTCACTCTGCAGCCATCACCCAGATGCAGAGTAAGTAAGATGAAAATGCTTCGCTGAAAACAGGTACCAAGCTTCGTGGCTAAAACTGACAAGATTTATAGGCTAATAGAAATTATAAGAGCTAATAGGAAGCCTGAGCTAATAGGCTAAACAGTTTATAATTAATGCGAGCCTTTGTGTGTTTTCTTTGTGACGAAATGGCTGTGGGACCTGGTGGGATAGGAACCTCTGTCAACACCATGCCGTTTTTTACTGTGTCCTAGTCTCCAGTATACACATGTCTAAGCTGTCTTATCTTGTGGAGTGTGCATTTCATCCATAACTATACCTGTGCTGTGTGATTCTCTCTCTTCCCACTGTCCCCAGGACTCTGGGGCCTGGTCAACAATGCTGGCATCTCCATCCCCTCGGGTCTCAATGAGTGGATGAACAAAGAGGATTTTGCGAAGATACTGGATGTGAACCTGTTGGGCGTGATCGAGGTGACTCTGAGCATGCTGCCCTTAGTGAGGAAGGCCAGGGGTCGAGTGGTCAATGTTTCCAGCGTCTTGGGACGAGTGTCTCTGTTTGGTGGTGGTTACTGCATCTCCAAGTATGGTGTAGAGGCCTTCTCGGACTCCATCAGGTAATGAAAGTGATGTGGGTATCTGAGAGAATCATTGGAATAGGGTTTTATTTTATGAAGACCATTAGGAGGCCATTATAAATAGGACATGCTCTGGTTTGGTCTTCTATAACTGTCTCCTTATCAGAGTAAGGTGATCATTCTCCAGTAATATATTTCCATGTCTCGAGTAAGGGCAAGGTGGAGACAAGAGTTATTTATTTATTTATTTACTTCCTTAGTTTATTTTTGCCAGGGTTTATGTAATTTTGACTGGCCTGCAATTCACTACATAGACCAGGCTGGCCTCAAATTCATACATAGCTATCACCTGAGGACTGGAATTAAAAGATTCTGTCAAGATCTAAGTTGTGTTCCAGCATCCTGCCTAGTTCAGTTCATTATATCCTGCTTGGAGCTGGAGACATGGCTCAAAGGCTATGAGCACTGACTGCTCTTCTGGAGGTTCCCGGTTCAATTCCCAGGACCACATGGCAGCTCACAACTGTCTCTGACTCCAAGATCTGACCCCCTTACACAGACATACATGCAGAAAAACACCAGTGCACATAAAAATGTAATAAAATCCTGCTGTAGCAGAAGGCACACAAAGGGAATATTTTTTGAGGCATAGTCAGACAGATGATATTTGGGGAAGAGTCTAGACTCTTGACCTTTAATGATGTTCAACTTGAGGATGTCCTTGAGGTAGGCTGAGCATCTCATTTAGCTCATAGCGTGGTTTCTAAACCCTTGTTATAGTCTGTGGTCAACTCATTATAGAACCACAAGAAGGCTTTCCCCCAGACTTTAAAAACTCTGACAACTGAGAAATTGAAAGAGGAGAGAGAGAGAGACTGTGCCATCCTTGCTGTGAGCAGAGCAGTCATCAGACTTAGGGTCCTAGAGCAAGGAGCCCAGAGGGAACTTAGCAGCCTGGTGAGGAGGCCTTTAGGGCACATACTCAGTCTTAGGCTCTGTGTGGCCACTGAATGTGCTGCTGGCTGCTACTCGACCAAAGGATAAGTCATATGATACAGTAAGGAGGCTGAGTCGGTGAGCACATGCAGGCATGTAGGGAGCATAAGAACCACAGACAAGGATGTACTCAAGGCAAATGGGAAGAGAGTGAATCAGGGGGCCCTGTGGGTCATGCAGCCTGTCAGTTGTAGAGAATGGGGGGATGGTAAATGTGAAAGGCAAGAAGAAAGCAGCCAGAGAGTGTTTCCAGGAAGATGCCTGCAGGAGCAATGGGCCAGCTAGACTGAGACATATTTGGGAAGGTTGACCTAAGAGTGAGGAGGAGGTGACTTGGGTAAGGGTAACCCTTTGCACCTGGAATGTATAGATAGGTCTTACCTGGTGTCTAGTTTTAGTCCAGAGAGCTATGTGCACCAAATACTTAGGGTGATATTTAAAGCACAGAGGCATTAGCCTCACCATGAGTTTCATCCCCATCTGCTACACAACACCTGTCTGAAGCTTGCAGCCTCTCCTCACCACAGGCTCACATTGTCATGTGACTCTACTCTGACTCTGAGTAACCTCACAGAAAGTCCTCTGAAGTCCTTGACGTCTATCTTACAGGAGGGAGCTCTCCTATTTTGGAGTGAAGGTGGCTATAATAGAGCCTGGCTTCTTCCAGACTGCTATTTCCAGTAGTGACAGGCATTTGTCACATTCCCAGATGCTGTGGGACCGGGCAAGCTCAGAAGCCAAAGAGATCTATGACGAGAAGTTTTTGTCATCCTGTGAGTGGGTTTTGGGGACCAAAGCAAAGGAGTCTAGAATTCTAAGTCTCCTGGTGGTGTTGACAGCAGTCTCCCTACAGTGTTTCTTCTTAAAATGAGCATGATTAGCCTCTGTTTCCTTGGTACAGGGTGGGCATCTCTTCACATAAAGAGATCTGGCTTCTAGAATGTAAGGTGTTGTTTCATTTAAATCCCTTATTATTATGACATGAAAGTGAAGCCAGAGTCACGAAGCAGTGACTTTCCATGAGCTTGGGCTTGTTTCCACTCTTGCAGAGACAACAGAGTTCTCTGAACAGAGACCCAGGTGGAGCATGTGTGCGGTTCCTCCTTGAAGCTGGGCTGTGTCCTCCTGATGACCTGGGGCAGGCTAGGCTTGGGCATGGCTTCAGATGTGTGTGGCTTGGGTTCTAGTGAGGCTTTCCTCCATGTTGGTCTAGAGCAGGAGTGTCGGAGGTAATCACCCCCTGAATCCTTTCTCTTCTTGTATAGATCTGACAGGGCTAAAGTTATTGGACAAACTGTGCAATAAGGACCTCTCCTTGGTTACAGACTGCATGGAGCATGCACTGACTTCCTGCTACCCCCGGACCCGATATTCAGCTGGTTGGGATGCCAAGCTCTTCTACATCCCTGTGAGCTACCTGCCCACCCGTCTTGCAGATGTCATCTTATTCTGGACCTCCACGAAGCCTGAAAAAGCTCTGTGAAGCCTGCATCTGTTTATGTAGTTGGGAGTTTAAGAGTGCAGTGTGAGGGAGAGAATTCTCGGGAGAAGGCAGATGCTGGGCTCGGGACAAACTTGTCATTAAGAGGGAGATTCATAGGTGCCTGAATTTTATTCCTTTGGTATGACCATGGAGAACATAGAGCCACAGGAAAAGCTTCTATGTTTAAACAATGATTCTAATCTTGGTAAAAATAAGAAAGTGATCTTCCATGTACTTGGGTCATCCATTTTACTTATTTTAATTTAAATTTTTTATTTGTATGTCTTTATGTGTGTCTATATTGCATATGTGTAGAAATACCCATAGAGTCCAGATTATTAATTTTCATGAACCTGGAGTTACAAGCTGTTGTGAATTACCTAACTGTGGAGTTTAACACAATTTAGGTCTTCCAGTCAACCACCTCTCCCTATGGTTAAAGTTTTTATTTATGAATTTAGTTAATTATCTATTTTGAGAGAGGTTCTTCCTATGACACACTGGTACATGAAGACATTCTGACTCTGCTTTGCTGCAGCAATCTGGCTTAGCTGTGAAGCCCTGACTAGGATCAGTGAGGGAAGAAAGAAAGGGCAGACATACAGACACATGGACAGAAAAACTGGCATCCAGTGGCATGCAACATGTACCCTTAGTATGTATATTATAAACAGCTAAGGGAAAAGACTTTGTGATCTCTGTAGGAGGTCTGAAGACAGCTGTTTCAGGTTAGAACCTGATCTGGAATTCACCTCTGTAGGTATGTATTTCTGTTAATCTGTGTATTGCCACATGGCTGTGGCTTACCAGCTAAGGTTCCATCTGGCTCCTGCAAAGCTACATGGCTTCTCTCTGACTACACCCTTCTTTTTCGCAGCATTCAGTTTAGTTTGACCTGTTCTGCGTGCTGACTATGGGAAGTAAAAATATTCCTTTAAGTTTCTTTGTTTCCTGCCTGCCTTTCCTTGCTCCACCATACAGCACAGACTCAGATGGCTACAGTGCGGGTCAGACTCAGCACACTACAGGGCATGTGTGTGGACTGTGACAATCTCAGTGTTAACCTAGGCAAAATTTGGGTCAAACACTGCATTTCCTTCCTTCTTTCTACTTGGTCAGCAGTGATAGGAGCTGCATTTCTGTGACTACAGCACTGCACTTGTATGGGAAGGTAGGGCCTCCCCTTGGCTTCCCCGAGTCCCAGAGTAGCCCCAAGGCAGCAGCGTGGATGCTGCCAGTGTAGGGGTGGGACTGTGCTATTTACAAACTCTAAATATCTCTGCCTTTGTTTCTGCTCCACTTTAGCTCTTATAGCTATCAAAATACATCCAAGCAACTGTACCGATAACTGAATATTATTTACTTGTCTCATATCTTCAACTATATACAGTATTACTCTTAATTTTTTCTTCCTCACTTCTTGCGTTTTTTAATAGCTCCTTATTTCTGAGTGCCCATTACTCACCTCTTCACCTGTGGGGCAATTTTTTTCCACTGGGGTTCTTCATGGCCCCCCCTGTACACCTGGTACTCTTCTGTGTTTTTTGGGGGGTTCCTCAGTCATCTCCTTGTTGTGGCACTATATGTTGGGGATCAGCCATAAAAGTGGACCATTTTGCCATAATACTGCTGTGGGAGTAAGTTGTGTAGATAATATAATGCTTGCCAAGGCTGATCACAGTTAATATAATGGACTTGCTGTCTCTTTATGGCATTCCCTAATGTGTGAGTGCCTCTTTGGCTGCGTCTGTAAGCTGTCTAGTGGAATTTGGATCACTGTTCCCTTTAAGAATTTTACTTAGTGGATCAAGGCCTCCCGTAGGATATTTTAAATAAGGTCTCAGTTATTGGATGTTTTCCAAAAACTTTAAAAATCATTTAGAGTCCTTAAACTATCCTTTTTAATTTTTAGTTTTGAGGCCTAATTTCTTCTTTAAAATTTAACATATCATCTAAATTCTGGAAAGTTGGGTCTCTTGTATTTTCTCTGGAGCAACGATTAACCCTGTATGCTCTGTTGTAGTAGCCCATATTTCTCAAGTAGCCCATATTTCTCAAAACGCCTTCATCTTTATGGGCAAATAAGATATCACTCATATACTGGACAATATAAACCTGTGGAAATAGATAGGTCTCTAACATTTTGTATATCCTGAGCTACAAATTTCTGGCACAAAGCAGCACTGTTTGCCATACCTTGAGGTAAGACACTCCATGGATATCTTTTTATTGGCTCTGTGAAATTATACTAATGTGAGGTTATACTAACTGCAATTCTTTGACAATCTTGTGGTGCGAAAAAGATGGTATAAAAACAATCTTTTGACTCTAAAATAATCTTATGGGTGGTTTTTTTTTTTGGTATAGTTATAGGAGAAGGCAACCCAGGTTATAATGCTCACATCAGCTTCATGGTTCCATTAGCCTCTCTTAAGTCCTGAATTAATCTCTACTTTTCTGACTTCTTTTTAATTACAAAAATAGGAAAATTATGGGGGTGGGGATTGGATGGTATCATGTGATATTTTCCCAGCTATTCTTGCACTAGCTTTTGGGAAGCTTGTAAGTTTTCTTCTATTAGAGGCCACTGATTTACACATACAGGCTTNCTGGGATAAAAGGCGTGTGCCACCACAGCCTGGCTTGCATGGTAATATTTAATGAATTAAAAAATCTGACCATCGAGAAAGCCCCACTAATGTAACCCTATCTTGGGGTCAGATTCTGGGATTGTTTGGTACATTTGTGTTTGTTTTACCTTGAGTTTTTAGGATAGGAAATGGATACTGACTGGCCTTGAACTCACTCACGACCTTTCTGCCTCAGACCGTCCTGTACCAGGTCTGTCCCACCACCCACATCTTGTTCCCTACAGTTATGATCATGAGCACTGGCCTGGTTTTCTGATCTTGTAGTGGGATCCTAGCAATAAATTATCTCAGTTAAACAGTTTGTGTTTCCAGGAGGATAAGATATGGGATAGGTGTGAGGTGGCATGTGACTTTTCTGAACAATTCTTCAAAATCAACAAGCACCACATTAGCCTTAAACCAAGTAGCCTGCAGTTTGAGAAAGATAGTCTCAAAAAGCTAAAAACTTAAAGTAAAAATAAAAGAATCAGAATTGAAAATAAAGCCACGAGAAAATGGAAGGCACACAGAAAATCTGGATACTGTATGTTATTGTATTCTCTTTGAATTGTTTGAATGCTGAGGAAGGGGAAACAGCTGCTAAAAGATATTTGATATTAAATATTGCTGGATTAATCCAACATACATATTTTGAAAATATGACTTTAAAATTTAATTCAAAAGATAGGTTACTTTGAAGCAGACGTTTAGCTTTTGATTCCACTGGAAAACAGTGGCTGTGGATTGAATCTTGATTAAGAAAAATGAGGGGGGCTGGAGAGATGACTCAGTAGTTAAGAGCATTGCCTGCTCTTCCAAAGGTCCTGAGTTCAATTCCCAGCAACCACATGGTGGCTCACACCATCTGTAATGAGGTCTGGTGCTCTCTTCTGGCCTGCAGACATACACACAGACAGAATATTGTATACATAATAAATAAATAAATATGTTTTAAAAAAAGAAAAATGAGGTTTGATCAAGGAAGACCCCCTGAGAAAACTCTGATAGGAGCAGATGGCCCAGATGTCTGAATTCTACATCCAGAACAGCCTCAAGACTGCTCGCTGAGATGATCAAGCCCCAGACATTATTCCAGCCAGGACTTTACGATAATTCTAAATTTTCTTTAGGACCCCCTAAAATTATCAGAGCTCCCATCAGCAGGAAATGGCATGGAAAACGATGTGCACATTCCCACAAATATGGATTATGGATATTTATCTTGTTTATAGATTGTTGGTTACAAGATGATATGGATAATGGCCTGGACAAAAAGCTAAACAAATGATATTAGATTCAGAGTTCTTGTTTAAAATAAGGGGGAGGAAGTGGTGTGGGACAATGATCTTTTTTTTTTAATTTATTTTTTTGGTTTTTCGGGACAGGGTTTCTTTGTGGTTTTGGAGCCTGTCCTGGAACTAGCTCTTGTAGACCAGGCTGGCCTCGAACTCACAGAGATAATGATCTTATATCCTGTCACTCATCTTATTTTTAATAAAATGCTGATNAGTCATCCATTTAACTTATTTTAATTTAAAAAAGTATTATTTGTTCGTCTGCTTGTGTGTCTATATTGCATGTGTTTAGAAATACCCATAGAGTCCAGATTATTGATTTTCCTGAACATATGCAGTCATCCATTGGAAGAACCATATGTAAAACTTGACACAGCATCCTTTAAGGGATCTTTTCATATATGTTTTGTGAAAATAAGATAATGAATTTGTGCCAATTGTAGCAACCAATTACCTGGAAAAAGATGGTTAATCTGGCTTTCAAATTGAGCAAACACAATTGCCCAAGAATTACTATTTGGAAATAATCAATCTGTTGCTTAGTATACGGAATGTTGATCACAGCAGGTTCTCTGCCAAAATATCTCTTAGATTCCATCCAGTTTTCCTGTACTAAGCATGGTACTGTTTATAAATAAGGGTTTAATACCTTAACTGGTGAAACAGGAAGGTGTAGCCATAAAAGTGGACCTTTTTGCCATAATACTGCTGTAGGAGTAAGTTTTATTATTTTTTAAAATTTTTTTATTAAAAATTTCCACCTCCTCCCCTCCTTCCATATCCCTTTTTCTTCCCCTACTCCCCCTCCCCTTCCCTCTCCAGTCCTAAGAGCAGTCAGGGTTCCCTGCCCTGTGGGAAGTCCAAGGTCCTCCCTGCTCCATCCAGGTCTAGGAACGTGAGCATCCAAACAGACTAGGCTCCCACAAAGCCATTACATGCAGTAGAATCAAAACCTAGTGCCACTGTCCTTGGCTTCTCAGTCAGCCCTTCTTGTCAGCCACATTCCGGTTTTATCTCATGCTCCATCAGTCCCAGTCCAGCTGGCCTTGGTGAGCTCCCATTAGATCAGCCTCACCGTCTCAGTGGGTTGGCACACCCCTGCGGTCCTGACTTCCTTGCTCATGTTCTCTCTCCATCTGCTCCTTCTTGTGATTCTATAATGTGTTGACCACAGACTATAATAAGAATCTAGAAACTATGCTAGGAGCTGAATGAGATGCTCAGCCCACCTCAAGGACCTCCACAAGTTGAACATCATTAAAGGTCAGACTCAGAACTCAAACCAAATAAGCACAGCAGCACCAAACAA